GCCATCCAAGGAGGGAGAAAGACTGAAAAATTAATTCCTAAGGTGCTCAGGTCCAAAAACCAAAACCTCAGTCTTGTCTGTGTTCAACAGGAGAAAATTAAGGCTCATCCAGGTTTTTATGTCTTTAAGACATGCTTGTAGTCTAAGTAGCTGATTGGATTCATTGGGTTTAATGGACAAATATAATTGTGTGTCATCAGCATAACAATGAAAATTTATCCCATGCTGTTTAATAATTTTACCTAATGGAAGCATATATAAAGTAAAGAGTATTTGCCCAAGCACTGAGCCCTGAGGAACTTCATGACTAACTTTGGTGTATGAAGAAGATTTAATATTTGCATTTACAAACTGGAATCTATCAGATAGATGTGATTTAAACCATTTTAGAGCTGTTCCTGTAATCCCAATATCATATTCAACCTCTGTAGTCAAATATTGTGATCAACCATATCAAATGCAGCACTGAGGTCTAACAGGACCAGTATAGACACAAGTCCATTGGCTGAGGCCATGAGAATATCATTAGTGACTTTTACTAGTGCTGTTTCTGTACTATGATAAGCTCTAAACCCTGATTGAAACTCTTCAAACAGATTATTTCTTTGTAGATGTTCATGCAACTGACCTGCAACTATTTTCTCTAGAATTTTTTAGATGAAAGTTACTCTGTCCAGGATGTGAACATCTTCATCCCTGAAAGAGTGGCCGCTGGCCTGGAGATGAATGTAGACCGCAGAATCCTGGCCTGATGATGTTGATCTTCTGTGCTGGTCCATCCTTTTGGCCAGTGGCTGTTTAGTTTCCCCGATGTAAGACTGATCACAGCCCTCCTGACACTGAACAGCATACACAACATTGCTCTGTTTGTGCCGGGGGACTGGATCTTTGGGATGAACCAGTCTTTGCCGTAATGTATTTTGGGGTTTAAAAGCCACTGGGACTTTATGTTTAGAAAATAAATGTCTCAGTTTCTCTGATACTCCCTCGACATATGGAATGACCACTGCTCTGGGTCTGGGCTTGGGTCTGAGCATGCATCAGGATAAAGAATGTTTAGGATTATTTGGCAGTAAAAGTTTTGCAGCGTGTTTCATTTCTGAACAGGAGGATATTTGGCATCAGTGAGATTGTTTACTTTTCTGTCTGCATCCTCCACTTGACAATCACTAAAAGTGTCGATGTTAAAATAGGCCCTTGGTGCTAATGGTGACGCTTCAGCAGCAGCTCTGCCTCAGTGTGTTGCATCGAGATGCCTGTCCTCAGACCTGTACCAGACAGACTGGATACCTAGCAGGGATAATTCCAGTCAAGCATCTGCAATGTTACCTGTTACTATGCTGCATGGCAACTATCACCACCATCTTGGGATGTTGTGTGCATGCTGACCCCAGTGAGAGAATCCTATTGGCTGAGCATAAAGGAAGGTTATACCAAAGTCCTTTGGGAATGCTGTGCCAGCATTAATGTTCATAAAGTGTCAGGGCATAGAGAAGGAAAGAAACTTGTCAAGGAGAGCAAGAGGAGAGGTTAGATAATGATAGTCAAGAACAGGAGATGATAAACAATTTCAAGGATGTTGTTGTAGGTGTTTTCATGCATCTTTACATGCACTTCTGTTTATCTGCCTTTCCTCACTTTAGATTACTAAATCACAGCAAGAGCTATCTGCAGGTCGGCAAATGTTACTGCCACGTTTTCATGCAAGTGTAGGTGTAGATTTGAATTACCATTAATTATCATATTCTTTTGTAGAATATATTTCTGCTGGTACTTTATATGGTATGTTTGTGTGTACATGTAAATTTTGCCTCTAAAAACAAGGCGGACATGCATAAGCTCAGCAGAATAAGCAAGCATACATCCACAATATCAATTAACTGGTCAGGATTGCATAACCAGCACCTTTGTGGAACAGTGGTTAGAGCCCTAGCCTCACAGTAAGAAGGGTGCGGGTTCACCTCCAGGCCTTTCTGAGTGGTGTGTGTGTTTGCATGCTCTCACTGTGCCCACATGGGTTTTTAAGGTATTCCAGTTTCCCCTGACCACAAGCACTGATGTTAGGTTCATTGGTAACTAAATTGTCTCTAGCTGTGAGTGAGAATGTGAATGTTTGGTTTTATGTGTCCCTGTGATGGACTTGCAACCTGTCCAGGGTGTCTTGCGCTATGACAGCTGGAGATAGGTACCAGCTCCATGTAACTTGGAAAGAATAAGTGGGTAAAAGACAATGGATAAATTGTATTTCTTAAGCTCCCTTTTAAATAGAGTCTGTGTCTTAGTTATAGAATTGTTCTAAAATTGTTGTTCTAGAATTGCGTCGCTCAGGGTGGCTGCATGTTGGAATATCTCTGTTACTTTCATTCTGAGTTATTGCTTTTGAAAACTTTTAAATTCCCCTTTTTTTCTGGATATAAATCACTTTTTTCGGATGATTATTTCCTCGTGTATCGGATGCTGCACAGCTGGAAGGATTTTTATTGAAACCTTTTTACTTTTGAGCGTTTGTTATGATGCGTAACCATGGCAACAAGGTGTTTTTTAACAACCAGGAGCAGCTGATTAACATCTCAAAATCTCACATACCTCAGCTATAGCCCCAAATCCCAAATGAGTTGAAAAGGAGGTGCCATGGACGAATTCACGTCAACCTGGCAGCAGTGCTCGAATACTTGAACGCCGAGATCCTGGAGTTGGTGGGAAACTCTGCTCATGACAATGGGAGGTCTGGGATTATCCCCTGGCATCTGTCCATGGTGACGAGGAACTTGGCAAACTACTGGGAGGAGTGACCATCACTCAGGGAGGAATTCTGCCCAGAATTCAGGCAGTCCTGCTGCCCAGGAGGACTGAGAGGCCCACTGGATCTGACAGCAAGCTGGATCCAGGTGGACAGATGTGTATCTGTGGCCAGATTCTTCGGATTCACTGCAGGAAAGCCTTCCTGCCCACGGCTCAGCATCTATAACCACTCTAGAATGAAACCAGGATGATGAGCTATGATAACACTTAATTTCCCTTTGGGATTAATCAAATATTTTTGGATTGAATTGAATTGAATTGAATTGAATTACACATCTTGCATTACATTTTTGCTATTTTTCTTCAATAAATCTATCTTTTTTTTATTTTTATTCATAATAAACACACATCTGACAACCTACTGTTGACTTTGATGAAAAAAATGCCCTTTTTTTACAATGTGAGTGACTCCAGTTGCCCTTTACCTATAAAGTGTTTTTCCATGTCACTGAGAAGTTTACTGAGACCAGCCTTTTAAACTAGCTCGTATAAACATGGTAACGTGAAGGCAGAGAGGTTTACAAACTCTTTTATAGACACATGATGGGGGGAAAACAAACATCTACACTCTTCCACCTCTGTTTATGTAGCACTTTTCTACACTCGTTACCACTTAAAGCACTTTGACACATAAAGCCACTTTCACACACAAACACCCCCCCCCCCACACACACACACACACACACACATGTCTTGCCTAAGAATACTTTAACATGGAGTAGGAGAAAGGTGGATTTGAACGATCAATATAAATGCATATTATTAGGTGTCGAACCATTGACTGCAGATGCAAATGCTTCACAATAAAAGTTGCAGTGAACTTTATCCTCTGTGGCTAGCAGTAGCAGCTAGCTAGAGATAAGTCAATTAATCAGCCGACCAATTTTAATTGACCAGTATTGGTCTTTCTTCTTCTTTCGGCTGCTCCCTTCTTCAGGGGTCGCCACAGCAAACTAAGTCGCGCGAAGTCTTGACAATTCTTTTTATGCTGGATGTCCTTCCTGAAGCTACCACAGACCACCGAGCTACCACAGCCTTCTGTGTGGAGCAGAGAGCTGCTATCTAGGGCAACCAGGGGAGCAGATGGTGAGGGTTAAGGGCCTTGCTCAAGGGCCCAGAGTAGGGCAAATGAGGGTGGAGGCAGGTGTGGGAGCTTCACCTATCCCACCCACATTTTGATGTTGTCGGCACTGGGAGTTGAACCGGCGATCTTCTAATCACAGGCCCATCTTCTCTAACCTCTGTGCCACCACTCCCACAATCGACCAGTATTGGTCGCTTTTTTTTAAATCAGTGATTGGCCATGTCTTAAGTGGCTCTTGTCAACATTATTTTCTCCCTTAATTTAACAGAAGTCAGAATACTTCCCAGTAATGGCTTTCAATGCAGCAGGAACAGTTTGTATGTCCTGTCGTATTGTGTACACGCCATAAATGCATCAGAGTTTTGCCTTTTATGTTCCTCAACCGGACATTATTAACATTAAATCATTAGGCCACCATTTACATTTTTAAATAGATTCAGCGACAAATCAAAACCGTATTATAACCTCAGTCCTTGATACTTAACCACCCTGAGGTTTTGATTGTTTTTAAAGACATATCTCTATATTACTGAATATAACATGGATAGGCCTATGTGTTTTCTTGAAAGAACATAAAGAGATGTTCTTGTGTTCTTTCTCTTTCTTGTTCTTCTCTGTTACTGACTGTCCCACATAAGATTTTGGATTTCTTAAGAGGAATAAAAACACTACACTGCTCACTATGAACTTGTCTAATGGCTAAAGCTGTGTTTAGGTTGACATATATAGTTATAGTAAATCTGAGAGGAGACAACAAATACATTACTTATTTAAAAAACTTCTCAAATAACTCAAGCCTTGTGAATTTTATGTTTTCATTGATATGTTTTCCACAGCATGACGTTTAGCAGCTTGATTTACACAGGATTTACCTGCTCCACTAACAGCTGCCAGTCGTACTGATTTCCAACCCAAGGAACGTGTTTTTGTGCAGTCGCCATAAATAATTCAGCAGTATATCTGGGGATCAGAGTGAATGCTTTAGTAGTGCATGTTTGAAGTGATCAATAGGATCACAACTGAAACATATGGCAGTGAAGCTCAAATCAGAGCAATGTAGGATGTGGTTGAGACCCTCGGTAACGTCATTTTTTAATGTTTTCTTTGTTTGCAGAAAGCCCGCTTGGCCAGGATACGACTATCCAAGACGAGGAGCTCGAGTGCCTTCCTGCACAACAAGCGCAACGGCCTGTTCAATGAAGTCCTTGAGCTCACGGTGAGACTCACATACGTGATTTATTATGTCGCCAAAAACCTGGCAACATGGGACTTACTTAAATGTATTCATATTTTAACTAATGGCACCTAAAGCCTGACCTGTGATCTAAGTGGATTTCTAGATTGTGGCCTCGCCCGTTTGTTCATTAATTATCCCAGCATCCCATCAGAGCAACTAACTGCTCTAATTTCGTAAGCAGTGCATTTAATGTGAGCATCTCTGAGCCCAGTTGCCCAGCGGAGAAACAGGCTTCAGGCAACGCAGCAAGAAAAGTAAACACAACAGAAGGATGTTCCTTGCCTCACCAAAAATCTTGCAGTTTCCAAGCACTTTAGTGGCCCCCGGGGCGTACACAGCACAAAAACAAGTGTTTGTTCCTCCTTTTCACTCACTCTTCAGTTGTCTTTATTGCAGTATCTCTCCTGTGCAGCAGGGGTGAGGACATGATCAGAATGACCTCAATAAAACTCAAGCAGCGACTGGATAATGCAACAAATTTATAGCAACCCCTAAATAGACCATTAATTTAACAGAATGGCAGTGGAATTTGGATGTACACACTGTGTTGATGAGTGTATTAATTGTAAACAAGGGTTTATGGTTGCAGCGTTACAGTCAGCACCAATAAATAAAGTTGCTTTGTTTAAGTTGTTACAAAAGGACTGCAGTAGCTTCAGTGCTGCATTGACCTGCAGGTTGCAGGTTCAAGCCCAGGTTGTGTCAGGAAGGGGAGATGGCACGAAACATTTGCCTAATCTTTTACGTGAGTTCACTCTTTGTGGCAACCCCTGCATAAGAGAGCAGAAACAAAACAACATCAATACTGAAACCTGTAAACATGCATTGGATTTAGTAGTAACTCTAAAGTGACTCTTTGTGTGTGTGTGTGAAGGGTTATTGGTCTTATTTGTCTTTATGTGTGGCCCTGGGATGGACTGGTGACTTGTCCGGGGTCTACCCTGCCTCTCGCCCAATGGCTGGTTTTAGGATACATAAAAGTTTTTAATTTTTAAACCAACAGGAATAATTATTTTTTGTCTTCCTGCAAAGTTAAGTCAGGTCCATCTTTCATCCAAGACTTCATCAGTCTGAGAAGACACAACAAACTCAGTCTTTTAAGCAGCACACTCCCATAGTGGGACAATCAGTTTGATGGTGATAAGCTGGTTTATGGAGTCCGCCCTCTCCCCCACCAGCTCGTCTGAGGCAGCCATGGTCAAAGTGGTTCAAAACATCAAAGTCCATGCTCAATAATCCAGGAAATAACTGGTTAGCCCACTGTGTGAGTGTGCTGCTTAAAAGACTGAGTTTATTGTGACTCCTCGGACTAATGAAGTCTCTTGGATGAGAGATGAAACGTTTCATCACAAACAAACCCTCCAGAGGACCTGACTTAACTTTGCTGGATTTGTTACTTGGATTATTGCACATGAACTTTGATCTTTTTGTCATGTTATAATACTCAGAGTCAATACTGTTTGTATGTTGTCAACTGGATATTCCAAAAATTTTATTTATGGTGGCTCTTTCTGGATGTTCTTATAGTTTACAGTTCTTTATGTCTTGACATTTATAGCTTAAAAGACTAAGTTCAGTCCTCCATAAATAATCTTTTATTTAGGGATTATTATTAGCTGTTGTGGGGATAACTTTATTTTATCACCAAACCAATCACGAGGAAAAATAAGTACTTCTGGGATAAAAGTCCACACTTAGATCAGTAATTTAACATTAAACCCACTGATAGATAAAATACTAAATTAATAATGTTGTTGCAGTTCGATGTTCTGCTGGAAAATCTTGAGCTCTGATATCACATGGATGTTAATTTGGCACCTACTGGACAGCATAAAATTGCTGCATCTCCAGCTGCATCGTCACCACAATCACCATCAAACTGATTAAAACTGCTTCAGAATTCCTTAAGTGAGGGAGAAAGATCTCTAGCTGCCCCACCTTGCAGCACCAAGGATCTTTAATGTCTCTGTGCCAAGACTTCTCTCAGAAGTTATGTCTTCAAGCTACAAAGGTCAGCATGAGGGCAGCCTGCACAATATTAGACAGATGTTGTCAGTGTGGGAAAGTTTAATAACTGTTAATTGCTGTCAAATCTTTAATTGTAAGGAGGGTTTTTACTAACAGTGTGCTCAGCGCCACACAGCGCTACACATTGTGTTTTGTCACCCGGCAGATCAAGCTGTTTCCACTCGGCAGTATGGTGGCCACCTGGGTAGCGAGCCACAGCCGCCTCCAGATAGACTGCTGATACGGGCCTGTAGTCACATGTATGGAGAGGGACAGAAATAGCTCAGCCTTAAACACCTGTGTTGTACTGCTGCGTTAGCTACAGATAAGCAGCAAGAACACAGGTGAGCAGAGAAAAACTGAGTCATCATCGCCACAATGTATCGCCTCAGCAAAGAAGCCTCTGCTTTCAACACCAGCCGTGTACAAACTGCTACTACAATTCTTCCAAACGTGATACTTTGCTCGCCTCTTCGCTGCTGTCGAGTATACAGGATGAGAGTAGTATTTTTAGTTGTTTTCCTATAAACAACTGAAAGGTTCTTCTGAAGAAGAATACCATCTGTCGAAAGGTTGTAGCACAAGAACACTAAGGATGATGTCACTTTTACACAGAAGGGTGCGCTTTCTGCAGCTTTTAATTTGTCCTTGTGACAAAACGATGTTGCATATTTGGACTTATTGTATGTGTCTGCTGAGAATATAATCAAACTGCTCTGTAATGTGTTGTGAGAGGGACCTGGAAATTCAACCCTGCACAGGAGTGAAATAAGAGGATTTATTTAAAGTTCTATCAGGCGCCAAAAGTCCTGAGGGTGTGGAGTCAACAGTAACCTGTACAGCTTGATCACAGGGGGAGAAAGAGTTGCAGACGCAGCTATGACGTCGTTGGTGAGCGAGCCTGGAAGGTCCGACAAAACCCTTCTCTTCAGAGTGAGGAGCTTGGTTCTGAGGTCGTGATAGAAGCATGGGTCATTCACAAAAAAATCAGAAAAGGCGATGCTTATCGTAGAGGCTTAGTGAGAATTGGTGGTCAATAGACAGAGCGAGAGTCGAGGTCCAGATATCCGATGGTTGAAGTAATCTTTCGTGGACAAGATCTTCGTGGTCATGAAAATGGGTCAGGGACAAGAACAAGAACGAGAACGCTGGATGTGTCAGTCATGAAAAGATCAGATAATCTGGCAGAGACTTGGCGTGGATGGAGTTCTTATACAGAGCAGGCAACAGGTGCAGGGCATGAGCCTGACTGCAGCGGAGAAGTGGGCATGACAGGTGGCAGAGGACAGAGATCATGACATGCTCATGAAGGACTAACTATGAAAGGGATGTTCCAAATTTTTCTGGATTTCTTTTTCCTCACCTCCTCCTCATCATCATCGTCAGTTTCTCTGACTCACTTCAGCGCTGCCCAGAAATGATTCCAAAGCAGCGCAGATTTAGAAGCAGCACCCACTAGTTCAGGCGTAGCTGCACACAAACACAGAAACGTCAGTGCAAGATGTAAAGGATGGGGAATATGGTAAACACGTCATTAGCAAGTTGCCTTAAGCGAGTTTTTGCAACGGCAAACAAGCAGCCAAAATGTCACAATGGAAATTTTTTTACACGAACTGTATTCTGAATATCTATTAGATGCTAGAAGTCCCTCTCCCCTGAGAGATCAGTGCACCAGCTCCACTAGCGTTAGCAGAAATGCTTCTCCAGGTCGGAATAGTAAATATTTCCCGTGTCTGACTGACGTGACCGCAGCCTCTGACGGTTGTCTGTTCTCCGCCCTGAACACGAGTAAAACTCCACCTGTCTGTTCTCCTTTTGTCTCCCTCTCCAACTCAAGCAACTTCCGTACAAGATGAACCTTTCGAACCAGGTACAGAGACAGCTGTTGGCAGCACGCCTCCCACATCACCAGTGTCTTCCTGAGTGAGAGGGTGGGGTAACGCTCATGTTGTGTGTTTGTTTCAGGGTAACAACGAGGAGGAGAAAAGCAAATCTACCTCTCTAATAGAGAGCCAGCATCACCACCTGCTGCACTGTTTGGAGAAAACCACTGTGAGTGCACATGGTTGAAACTTTTTATGCACACTTTGGTGTTGGTTTTATTCTTAGTTTATCAGGAATCACTTTATCTTAACTGTGTGGGTTATAAGGTTGCTTTGAAATCCACCCATTAGCCTTTAGGACTCACGATTTATGTTCAGAAGTTTTTTTATTTTTATTATTTGCATGACTTGTATGTCAAAGTTTTGAACTGAGAGCTTGCGTTACCTGTTGGTGCTCAGAGAACGTGATGGGAATAAGCTGGTATAGATTGATAGGCATCCAGGACATGGTAAATAAAAATAAATTAGTAGAATAAAACAACAGCGGGACATCTACTCTGTAACTGAAGGTGTTTCGTTTCCCATCTAGGAATCGTTCTTAATTCAAATAAGGTCTGGAGAATGTGGGTTTCCAAGCTTTAAAATGATCAGAATGACTCTCGGTTACTACCACACCAGGTTTTAGTTCAAAATATATAAACCTGACTAGGTTATAGTCAATTTTGTGTTTGCAGAGTTGATTGGCTGTGGTGGCCATCTTGAATCAGGTTCACTCCAAACGGTATTCAGTTGTAGATCTAATGATGACTTTCTGAGAGTTTTATAAAAGTCTGTCAGGTGGTTTATGACATAATGGGCTAACGGACAGACAATCATAAACACACACACACACACACACACACACACACACACACAGATACAGGGAATTACACCATTACTAGCTTTTCATGGTGGTGGTCCTAAAAAGTGTGCTGCTGAACCTGCTACTACTATTTCTTTTTCTACGTTCACCAAAAGGCAGACGTTGTATAGTCTCAGTAGGTCCATACATCTGTTACCATATTTTTCAGACTATAAGGTGCACTTAAAATCCTTTCATTTTCTCAAAAATTGACAGTGAGCCTTATAATCCGGTGTACCTTGTATATTAATTCTGGTTGTGCTTACTGACCTCAAACTGATTTTATGTGATTATTGTGAAAGAGTTGAATCAAGTTTGACTTATCTGACTGTTTTGTTTCGCTTAATGCACCTTATGTATGAAAACAGACCAGTTCATTGATATTGCGCCTTATAGTCCAAAAAATACGGTAACTGTCTTTTGTCCCGCCCATAACTTCTGATAAAGGTCACAAATCAAGGTCAAATGTTATACAAGGTCTTTGCTTTTTTGGGCCATTGCTATAGATTGATGTGCCAAATGCGGCACTCATCTATTATTTTGCAACTGAGAGGTGTGGGTTTCACTTTTACAAGGTAAACTACAAAAAAGGGAATGCAAATAAGTTTGGTTATCCTTTCCTTTTATGTTTGTCCTCCAGCAGTAGTGGAAATGACAGAACTTTCTTCAGTCCTTCACAATAACGAGTCTCAAATGCATATACTTGAGTGTTAATTTTGAAATACTCATAAATCATCTGAGGCTTGGAAAATAGACTATATAATTATTATTCTCCAGGCGGATCAAATTTAACAGAAACATATTACCATAGTGGGGTCCCACACTTATTTATGATAAAATGCTTTTGCTTCTGATTAAATTTTGCTCACAGTCCCTTCTTTGTGTCTCCGTTCTCTTGGTCTCTAGAACCATGAGTTTGTGGATGAACAGTATTATCAGCAGAGCTTTTTGGAGGCGGGGCTGCAGAGTTATCCATCTCGAAGCCCCTCCCTCTCCAGCCAGGATGGCGTGACGGGGACGTGCTGCACCCGTCGAAACAAGAAGCGTCACAGCCCTTTACCGAACGCCAGCGCTCCAGCACACATGCAGCCTTTGACGCACACGCACATACACAAACAAGCCCTGCAGGAGCTCAGCGCCATCCACATCCAGCCCCTCAGCACCAGGTAACGAGACACGCTTCCTCTGAAGTCTAAAAGTGCACATCAGAAATGTTTTTTTCTTGTTTGGTTTTGATGTGTTCTGCTACTGAAACAGCTTTATGTGTAACTTCTAACCACAATCACTGCATTTTAATGAATATAAAATTAATAACTCCCTACGGTGCCATACCATTAGCCTAATTACACACCATGTAACTAATGGCAAATGACAGGTGGTAAATTTACTCTCCAAAAGCTCTCACGATAAGATGCAATTTGTCATTTTGTGAGAAGTTTCTTAAAAATGAGCCAGACTTTTTTCATGCAGTTTTATTGTGTGTTCTTGGCAGTTTGAACCAATTAAACAAAATGTATTCAGACCTTTCAAAGCTTACCGTGTTTCTTTAAAAACAATCTAAAACATCATCTTATTTCAGGTAAATTTAGAAACGATTGCGGTTATTAAACATGACTTATCGTTTCAAACAAATATAATACTTTGAAACTTATCCATTATTTTAAATCGGCTATTTCAAGTTTAGGAGGGGAAAAATAGTTGGGTTTGCGTTTATTTCTTTCTTTTTATTTTAATAAAAAAGGAGGAAAGTTTGATGTCTGGCAAGAAAAATGCTCGTAGAACGTTAGAAAAAATGCTGGTGATGATCAGCAGAACATACTGTATTTTCCACCGTGCACGTCGCACCGCCCTATAAGTCGCATCAGTCCATGTTTGTCTAATAAAGTGGAAAAATCCATAAATATGTCACTTCACTGTATACGTTGCATCTATTATGCATCACTGCTGACACGTCACGTTTGTTACGTGTCACCGCTGACAACACGGAAATGTGGGCAGGTGTTGTGCCAAAAGACGATTGACTGCCAAATGGCGGCCGCGGGAGCCTGTACGGGAGGACTTTAACAAGAATTTAACAAGATTAACACTTAAAAACAATTATTTGTTTGCTTGAAATTATAGTAAAAGTGTGTTTCAGTCCAACTTTTGCTTAATAATTACACTTTAATTGTCAAATCAGCTGCATTTCAAAACCCGATTCGCAGAAGCGGGCACATGCAGAGGGACAAGACTTTGCACATTTCTTCGAAATTTAACAAGATAACCACCTAAAAACATTTATTTGTTAGCGCGACTTTATAGTAAAGGTGTCTCTCAGTTGATCTTTTACTTAATAAATGCATTTTGACGGTCAAATTAGCTGTATTTCGCTGGGGCGGTGCAGCAAAATGAAGCTGATTTGGTTGCTCCAGGCAGACGACAGTGGTTGCTGTGGCAAGCCAATTGTGTCATTAATAGCCACTTTTCAGGGGTGTCAAACTCACTTGAGGATCGAAATTAAAACCTTTTTTTTAACTAAGGGCCAATTTCAGAATCTACATTAACTCGAGTTAGATACTC